TCCAGGGGATCCTACCAACCCAGAGATCGAACCCAGGTCTCCCTCATTGCAGGCAGAGTCTTTGCCAGCTGAGCCACAAGGAAAGCCCAAGAATACTTGAATGGGTAGTCTATCCCTTCTCCAGCAGATCTTCCCGACCCAGGAATAGAACCGGGGTCTCCTGCATTGCAGAAGAGTTCTTTACCAAGTTACCAGGGAAGCCCAAGCCAGATTGGGGGGCTCTTCATAATATCCTCAACAGGAGACTGACTAAGGAAAGTAGATAGCTTGAAAGAATGATCTCAGCACCAGGTTATCCAGGGATGTTGTGCTGTTCCAGGCTAGTGAATGAAAGGGCATTTCTAGAAAGACATTTTCCAAGTCTTAGAATGAACTTCTAAAAACACAATCAGCCTCTTTTGTCTAGCTAAAGAGAAACCACTGTATGTTAGCAGAAGAAAAAAAAAAAAGTTTGCACTTTCTTTGTGTTAGAGTTCATCTCTTTTAAAATCATCGGTTTGGCTGTTCGCAAATTGTTTTTCTGATTCAATTGCTTCTTTGGTTCTTTGCAGTGGTGATTGCTATAATAGATAACTCCCCTCCAAAGAGCCTGTACTAGCTTCATTTGGAATCAATGCCAAGGAAAATTAAAATTGAATTTATTTAGTAAGATTTAAATTGAATTTTTGTCTGTGAAGAAACTCATGTATTCCTGCACAGTATGTTTTACATATTGGCTATGTATTTTTTTATTTTAGCTTTCCGTCATTCTAATGTTATCTATAAAATATGACAGTTTATATAAAATTATTTTTCGGTGCTCTATAAATTTAAAATACATAGCAAAGAATATGAAATAAAATTGGAAAAAAGAAATCAAGAAACAATATTGGCATTTCTCTCCTTAACCTTCTGAGCAGACTCTCCCCACCCCTCCCCCAGCAACAAAGGATTAAAAAGCTTTTCAAATAATCTCAAGATGTCCCAAATCCTTGTGAGGAAATGTATAATCACGGATTACCACTTCCTTTCTGATGTGTTATGTGATTGTGGATAAACCATCTGAGCTGTCCTCTCTTCTCCTATGCTGTCCTTTAGAATTTATTGACATGGATTCGTGACAGTTGAAAAAGAGAATGAGTAATTTTATAGTTGTCCTTGGCACTCTTGATTTAAAAGGAAATCTTCTTAAACCTCTGTTAAGCTGTAAAGTATTTGTCTCCCCTGTGGCTTCTATCATTAACTGATTCTATTTGTAGTTTTAATCACCATGATACCAAGTTGCTGATATACTCACAAAAATAATCAGAATGTCATTCTTTGGAAATGCAAATATCATTATGCATTTTTTGCATTCTTCAAAAAGTGAAAGAGATGATATCTTAAATGTTGATTTGAAAATTCTATTACAGTGTCTACATGAGCATAGTTTAAAAATAATTTTGGACTTCAGATGCGTTTATTGTCACTATTAAGAATAGAAAGTGTGCAGTATTACTTAACCAAATTTTTAGAAAAAGATTTCTCTTTATTTACTTGCCATTACTCAGAAAAATACTGATTGAGCCCTGGCTCTCTATTGGTCACAGCTGGATTCTGAGAAACAAATAAAGGTAAAGTACTTCTTTCTTCAAAAAACTCACAGACTCAGGAAGGAGGTCAAGCAGTGACAGTAAATTAATAATATCATAAATGTGCTAAATCACAGAGTTTTGTTTAAAGTTCCATGAGAGCATAAATGGGGAACAATGAAGTCTTCCTAGAGGAGAGAGAAATGGGGAGAGTTGTGAAAATATGACTTTGAAGTGGGTCTTAGACACCAGCAGTTTGTTGAGAAGTGAAGAAGCAATCACAAAAGAACTGTTTTAGATCTTTTCTTTCTTTCATTTGTAAATGGTAACCAAAATGATGATTGGCATAAGGATAGAAGTTCCCTGTGTCTCTGCCTAACTCTTCATTTATATGTAGTGTCACTGGAGTTCCCTATTTCTAAATCTGCTAAAGGCAGAAATTTCACTCTTAATTAGATTTTTCTCTTTAGCCTGGTGATTTGAACCTTGTAAGAACTCATAAACTATGTTTTTTAAATTTATCACTGTGTAGTACATCTACAAATTAGACTATACATTGCACTTAGTATAGCCTAAAAGAAAATAAATAATTTGTAACAAGGGAATCAGGTATACTAAAATATAAAGTCAGTTGGAAAACATTTATTATAATAACTGAAAAAGTAGGATGTAATGTTTTATATTTAGTATATCAACTATGTAAAATATATATATAGAAAAGAGAAGAGAGAAATGACAAAATAATAGTGGTTGCCTCTGGGAGGTAGCAATGTTTTTTATTGCATACTTATTTGAACTTTAGAATTTTCCTATTAGCAGCATTAATGTCTTTTAGACTAATAAAAACTATATCTATATTTAAAACAACATAGATTTCTCAATTCAACAACATCATCTAATTATTGCTCTCTTGAAAGTGAAAGTTATTTTATGTCTCTGTTGGATGGTGGTGTTGGGAGCATTTCAGGTCTTCTAGAGAAGAATTCTTTTCGATCATTTTGCTTTCTCACTTGCAAAAGCAGGGCTACTGTGAGTGATTACTTGGTTAGTTTTGTGTTTTCTCCCTCTGTCCCTACACTTGAAGCTTATATTGTGATTAAAAAGTTCCACTTTCTCCAGAGTTGGTTGCCATATGTGACTCTAATGCTTAGGCTCTGAGTTGACCTGAAAATAAAACAAAGTGTTGCTCAGTAGTGGTTGACTTTTTGCGACCTCATGGACTAGCCCGTCAGGCTCCTCTGTTCATGGAATTCTCCAGGCAAGAATACTGGAGGGGGTAGCTTTTCCCTTCTCCAGGGCATCTTCCCAACCCAGGGGTTGAACCCAGGTCTCCTGCATTTCAGGCAGGTTGTTTACTATCTGAGCCAGCGGGGAAGCCCTGAAGTTGACCTGAGGCTTGGCTCAAAAGAGGCACCCACATTCTAGAAGCTGTTGCACAATCAGTCTGTTGGTGACATGGTTATCCATCAAGCCTACATCCGTAATGCAGGGCACTAGTTCTGCTCCCTCTTGCAGTTACACCTTTTGTTCTGATTGCTGCTCAGCTGCAGTTTAGTGATCTCTTTTCTACTCTTTGCCCATGTGTATCTCAGAGGATTGGATTGCCATTCATCACCAGTCACTTCAGTGAGGCTGAGCTGGTTTGGGGAAAGATCTTACTTTCTCCACTTGATATTTGAAGACTTCTCTGTGGAAGCAGCTGGTTAACGTCTCACCAAACTAGAGGTAATTAGAAAGTCATACTATCAGAGCACAGTACTTTGGAGAGCATCTTGATACCCCTTGCTACATTAGAGCCATGGTATGTCTACCAGTCTCTCTACAGGGACACCAGCCTCCTACTTTCAGTTCTTTCTCTCTTTGATGATGCAAAACCATCAGGCCAATGTGCAGCTTTAGTAACCAACTGCAGTAGTGTTTTTCCTTGCATGTTTTGAGAGAAGTTATGTGGCTGCATATAGACCTTCTCTCATGTGGACTTGCACAGGCTGATGGCTCTAGTCCCTGGTAATGGGAGTTTGGGGTGGGATATGGGGAAGAAAAGGAATGATACCCACAAGTTGCAAGCTGAGTAATAGCTATGATCATCTTGCTTCATAATGTTAGGCAATGTGTACTGCCGAGGAAGGCGTTAAGAGAATTATCTCCTCAATTGTTCAAGGCATCCTCAGCTCATGTCTGACCTTACAGTGTACACTGTGGGATTTTAAGTGAACTCGGAGCCTGAGGGAGGGCAGCCTCGCCCCACAGGACTCTTGCAGGGACAAGACTGTGTAACTTGAATCATTTGTGGTGTGCTTGCACTCTTTCTATCTATTTCTCTCTCTGTGCTCAGTCACTGAGTCATGTCTGACTCTTTGCAACCCCATGGGCTGTAGACCGCCAGGCTCCTCTGTCCATGGGATTTCCCAGGTGAGAATACTGGAGTGGGTTGCCATTTCCTTCTCCTGGGGATCTTCTGGACCCAGGGATGGAAACTGCATCTCTTGTATCTCCTGTGTCTCCTGCATTGTCGGATGGATTCTGTACCACAGTGCCACCTGGGAAGCCCCCTCTCCCTATATATACATATAAAAACAGAGCTTCTATATTAAATATATAAGTATATAATCCATAATATACATGTATATGTATCTATAGTTATACATTTAATACAAAAGCTCTCTTTTTAACACCAAAACAGCGCACCGAAAAAAGAGTTGTGCAGTGACACTACATTTATGTTTTATGAGTAGCTGCCTCGATTAAACTCCCCTATACACACATGAAGTTATAGTAGCTTTCATAAGTTGAGAAATCTGCAAAATTTAAGAGTGGAAACATTATTTTCACATTTTTTTTCGGTTTTGGGTAACTGATGATACGAGTTGACTATGGGGTAGAGTTTTTCATGTATGGAACGTATGTCAAAACAAGTGCTGGAGGATGAGAATGGAATACTTCTTTTTTAGGAGATCTATGTAGTGTAACTGATGAATGATATATGTGCTGTTAAACATTTTTTTATCCTAATGAAGTGGGGAATTTCCAGAACTGCAGCCTCACCATTTCCCACAATCATGGTAGTTTCTGTCTATATTTTTCCTGCTTAACTTCAGAGTATTTTCTTGGTTTCTAGAGGGAGGATTGCAATTGTGAATGTGTTTCATAACCATTTCTCAAATTTTAAATTGACCACTCATCTTGTTTTTAGTGGTAAGTTTTTCCAACCCACTGAATTTATTATTTTCTTCATTGGCCCACATTTGGAAAACAGGGAAGTAGTTGAATTCTGTGTTAGTTTAAAAATATGTATGCTTTTTATTTTATATATCATGACACTGTCAGATTACAGAAATAATTTTAAAGCTAGCCTGCAATAAAAGGAAAAAAACATAATATATGAGCCTTTGGTCATGAGCACTGTTATATTGACTGAGTCTCCCCACTTTCCTGTCGTCTCTATTTCAGCAATATTTAAGGTCATTAGAGATTTCAGGAGCTGCCACCAGGATGGATTACTACACCACATCGACCTATTCTCTGGAAGTTAACTGTAGCGCCCAACCCCATGTCACCGAAGCAGTCCACAGTCTCATGGGCAGCTATCTCTGGAGGCTCCTAGTGGAGGTAAGTAACAGTGTTGGTTGTCCTGTCATCAGCAGGACAGTAAGGACAGATTCCATTTGCCTTTTATCTCTGCTTATCCCAGTTACTACCTGGGGTAAAGCCTCTTACCACCTGGGATCTTCTCCTTGTCCTGCTCTGCACAGCCTTGATCCGACTTCCACTTTGTGCCCAAACCTCCACCGTGCCTCCAGTGCTCCTTCCTGCTTGCCAGCAGATTCTTACCATCCTTTGCGACTGCCCGTCTCAAAGCAGTCCTTTGGCTTCCTTGCCTAAACGGAAACCTTTCTTCAGAGGGTGCTGGTTTTCTTGCAGTAAATGGAGGCAGTTTTCCCTTTTACATCCCCTTATCTCGTATCTGAGGACTTTAAAATAGTTTCATTATCCAGGTAACCACTCATTGTCACTTCTAGGTTGTAACCTGTCACTCTGCTTTCAATCCCTATCGCCTGGTCACACTGAACATTTTTTCCTTTAAACCATCCCAAGCTATTTCCTGTCTCATAGCCTTATATTGCAGTTCCTTCTAGCTGGCAGGTTCTTGCTGTTTTTCCTCCTGATCCTTTATTCTTCAGCCTGTTTTACCTCCTTACATAATCCTTCCTTGAGCCTTTCTTTCTAAGATAGCTTTTCTTTTCTGCCTCCCTATTCTCTTGTCAGCCCCATATGTTTCTTTCTTTTGAATTAATTTTTTATATCAGTTACATTCTTCTTCTTCTTTTTTTTTTTAGTGTGTATCTTCATCTATAGAAAGTGAGCTTCATGGGGGCAGATACCACATTTATTTTTTTCTTTTTAACAAAGTGCCTCTGATGCCTAGCATTGTACTGGTCCCTCAAAGGCACCCATTATTTGAAGAGTGAAGAAATAGGCAACATGACTATTAGAATAAGAATAAATTAGTATATTCAAAAAATCATAAAAATTGTGGACATGAAATTAAAATACAAATCTTATTTCCTTCTCCAAGCATATTCAATAGAAGACAAAAATCATGTTTTAGGAATAAATTAATGAAAATATGGTTGGAATTTAGAGACTTTGGTGAATTTAAAACTGTGTGAGATGAGGTGGTGTTGGAAAATTTCTGAGAGGGAGTAGCTGGAAACAGTGTGTGTAGTTTGAACAAGCAAATGCAATGTATATTGATTATAGTTTGGAAATAATGGAAAGCAAAGATATTTATAACTATTTTTGACTATTGTGAACCCAGAACTTGTGGGAAGAACCATGGAGAGAGGCTGGGGCTTTGGTGGTGGCTCAGCAGTAAAGAACCTGCCTGCAGTGCAGGAGACTTGAGTTCGGTCCCTGGGTGGGGATGATCTCCTGGAGAAGGAAATGGCAACTCACTCCAGTATTCTTGCCTGGAGAATTCCATGGACAGAGGAGCCTGGCTGGCTGCAGTCCATAGAGTTACCACGAGTTGTATGTGACTGAACAACTGAGCACAACATTTGGAGAGAGGCGTGATTTAAAGAAGATTGAAGCACATTTTGGTTGACTGTCCTTCTCAAATATGAATTATCTTCTCTGGTCTTTGGATTGGAACCACATGGCTGTCAATTATAGAATGAAATCTTTGGAGAATGCTCTAAATTTAGGTTGTTGGTATTTCTGAATGTTTCAGTTTAGCTATCAGGAATCTGGGGGTCAGATTTGTCATTTTTAGTACACAGGTGGCAGTATCTGACTTACCATGGGTAGCCATTCATCTCTGCAGAAAGAGAAGCAGAAGGAGCTATAGGTGTGGTCAAACTATGGGCATTATATAGTATTTGAATTCCTTTTGGCAGGTTTTTAAAATATTTTCAGGTTATTTTCCATCCTTTTTTACCTTGCCCAATCATGGAGCTACAATTATTGAATACATGTTAGATCTCTTATCAGCTTTTCTTAGAATCAAGAGATGTCACTGTTTGCATGGGTGTGTGTGTGTGTGTGTGTGTGTGTGTGTGTGTGTGTATGTGTAATTATGCACTGTTCCTAAAGCACAGCATATCAGAAAAAAAAAATGAGAATTTTGTTGAAGAAGATGATGTCAGAACATAAATTAGGATTCTGCCTGTGTTAACAGCTTCATCTTCCAGAGTGCCTTAAAGTCATACATGTATTATCACATTTTATCATTACTGTATAATTACAATATTATCATTATCTTCATTTTAAAAATGATAAATCTGAAGTACACAGAGGTAAAGTAAAATTTTCAAAGTGAGCGGTATAGCTGGTACTTAGCTTTTAGTTCTGCCAATTCCAGCTCCAGTGTTTTATTTTCTATCTGAATTGGAGGGCTGTACAGGATAAATTGTTTACAAACCTCATCTCCAGAAGAGATACTGAAAGAGTGTGAGAGAAATGATAGTTTGAAAGGATTGGCATCTTGTCCATCCTGAGGTACAGTGAGGGACCAGATCGATGATTTGATAGCCTTCTGTTGCAGATTTCATAGCTACATTTATCTGGACATGTTTGCTATAAGCATCAGCTATTTTGAATGTGATACACTAAGAAAATAGTATTGTTTAAGCCCATCAGTGCTTAGGGAGAAAGCTCTTTTGGCTAATGATCAGGAATTTCTTAGTCTGCTAAATAGACTCCTAATACAAATGTGAAAGTGCTAAATGTTGTAGATTATGCAGGCCCATCCAGTGGTGTCAGTGCCCCTGGAGTGGTTCATTTTCTGGCTGAAAGTTCCATTATTTTCTAAAAACAAGGTGAGAAATGAGAGAGCTGACCATTTTAATTAAAGCTGATCTGTAGTTTTGGTGCAGAACAAGTCACTATACCATTCAATCATTGGTTCCACACTCAGGTCTTGGGTTTGGCTCATTTCTTATTTTAACAAGTATAATGTCCCTGTGTTATATAATTAAGATTTGGCTGGCCTTTGTCCCTGAATCCTGGAATGGAGACTCTAAATCCTTAGGATTTCCTGAGAATATAAGTGTCTTTGTTATTCATGATTCCCCTTGAATCATTCTTGAATTTATGCTAATAAGGTGACTCATGGCGGCCCTCTCAATAGCTTCAGGAGGGAGGCTGGTCATAGGCAGTCTTGTAATTAGAGAGCTGGGACCTTGTGCTAGCCAGCCTGATCTCTGGAGAGAGGAATAAGGTTAGAGACTTAACTTTGATCATGTAACCAAGGACATAATGAGACCCCAGTAAAAGCTCTGGTTGTGAGGTTCAGTGGAGCTTCCTACTTTGTGAACTCATCAGTATTCCTGGAGAGCCATGTGCTGATTCCATGGTTTGGGGGGCATGGTATCTCTGTGTTGGGGTCACTTTCATATCCTGTCCCAGGTGGTTCTTCATTTGACTGCTCCTGAGCTGTTTCCATCATAATAAAACTATAAGTATAGTGCTTTCCTGGGCTCTGTGTATGCTAGCAAATTATCAAATGTGAGAAGACTCATGGGAGTTCCCAGATTTATGGTCAGTTTGTCAGTGGTGCAGATGACCTAGGGATCATTTGAACTTGTGGTTGGCATCTTAAGTCGGGTCAGTCTTCTGAGGACTGAGCCCTTAACTTGTGGGGTCTACATTCACTCCAGAGGGTTATGTCACAAGTGATTTTCAGTATACTAGTTGATGTTAGAGTGGTTGGAGTTGAAACAGAGGACCCCAAGAGGGATGATGTATTATTTAGTTACCCACTGAGCCATCAATTATAAATTGATAGTTACAACACACTTAGCGGGTAAAGCTGTTTTCTAAATCTTGGACTTTTCTTTCTCTGATCTCAGGTATTTACTGGCATAGGTTTTGTCTATGGGGCCAACTCTGCCTGTGTATAGATGGGACAGTTTTATCTGAACTAACTGATTTGATGGAAAGCATCTATCTCTGTCTCTCTCTTTCTTTGAAGTTTTGTGAAATGTGAGATGTATGTATTAAAGTTCCTAAAACTAGAGATAGTGATGTGTTCTGGGTATGATGAGTGCTCCATACTGATCTCTTAATCTGTCTTGAATGGTTCAGTTTGATGTTTGATACAGGAATATATGCTTCTAATGTCACTGAATAAAAATTCTCAATAAAGTGTGATTTAGAATTTAATGTAAGTTTTTCATATTATATATATAAAAAATAGATAATTCCAAACATTGTAATTTTTTTTACAAAAGTATTATAATACCATTAGCTTTTCTGTTTTTTTTCCTCTTATTGAAATTGTCATCTCAATGAATAAGTTTAATCCAAAATGAAAAATTATTCAGGAAATTTCTGCCCACCCTGCAGTCTCCCGACACCTCATGTGGTTCTGGCAGCATGACATGGCCAGCTGTAATCCACTCTCTAACCCTGACTTGGCTAGATTGAGGAGTAGATCTGCCTTTCATGTTTCCCATATACAAAGTGAAATGGTCAAATTAGTTGATCGTTAGTTTCTCTTCCAGCTCAAATATCCTGCTCTTCTTACAGAACATGTTTACTCATAAGAATTAGAGTGAATTGCATTGGTCTACCTGACAGAAACAGCTAATGCCTTTGCCCCAACAGTCAGTTGAATATGCAACCCTTTTTATTCACGTCTCTGTGTGCATCTCCCCTGATATCCAGTGCTCACTTGCAGAAGTGCCAGGGAAGGAAACTTGGCTGCTTGAGAATAGATATCATCTAGAGGGTTGAATGGGGCTTCCCAGGTGGTGTTAGTGGTAAAGAATCTGCCTGTAAATAAGAGACATAAGAGACACAGGTTCAATCCCTGGGTCAGAAAGACCCCCTGGAGGATGACATGGCAACCCATTCCAGTATTCTTGCCTGGAGAATCCCATGGACAGAGGAGCACACACTGAAGTGACTTAGCACACACACAGAGTTAAATGAGTTCAGCTTTGTATTGAAATTTAACTCAGTTGAATAGAATTGATTATATTAGAGTTCAGTGAACTTCCTTTTACTTCAACTCACCCTTTTTATTTCTTCTCACATTATATTTAGATATTGTTATCTATGCCTTGTATTTGGGAATCACCTCTGAGTATCATAAATAATTGATA